AGAACCCGGTACCGAAGACAAAAACCTAAGGAGTGAATCCAGCAAGAACCCGGTACCGAAGACAGAAACCCTAAGGAGTGAATCCAGCAAGAACCCGGTACCGAAGACAAAAACCCTAAGGAGTGAAACCAGCGGGAACCTTTTGCCAGAGGAAGAAAAAGCAGGGAGTCACAGACGACTGTTCTTGTTGTGTGAAAAGAGCAACCAAAAGCAAGGAAAAACGGTCGTGAGTCACAGGTGACAGGTGCTAGTTCAACAGGAAATCACACGCCTGCCAATGCCTGGGAGCATTTTCGGGTCAGCTGATGTGTGGTGATGCCAGGCGGAAGGAGTCACAAATGACAGGGATTTAGCCAGGAAAGTAGGGCATCACAAGCGACAGAATTAGGGCGTCACAAACGGCGCGTGTGCCTTGTTGGTGTGCGCATTGCTTTTTGCTGAATGCCGGCAATAGGAGGAAAGCGTGGTCATGCGAGTCCTGCCAAAACTGCTCTGAATCTGGTTGTCTGCCGAATCTCTGCGCGACCTTGCTTCGGAGATGCCGAGGCCATATTATCCATCTGCCGAAGAGAAGGATTCTTGGAACGGAAGCTGAAGACACGCATACCTCCTTGTCCTGCATGATATCTAATGCCTGTTCTGGTTGCAGGAAGTCTTTACAGGGTGAGTGCTAGGGATCAAGTAGCAACCTGCTCAATTTTTTTCCTGGCTTCAGGGCTGCATCCGGTGTCGGGTTGATGTTTGACTTCTTTGATGATACGTCTTGAACGCATGCAGGAGCCTACTACCATCCCTGAGGCTCATTTTAGGACAGGCCGGAAACAGGTCCGGGGCCCGTCACTCTTGCTCAAGCTCTTGAACTTTGCAGCTTTCAGCCTAAACACAGGACCACCCCTGCGAGCACTTTGCATCCAAGAGCTCAGCAGGACAGGAAGCCAGAACAAACACTTGTCACTTGTGCCTGCATCACTCCAGCCTCACCAGACTCGTTTTGCAGTTTGAGTGCACCTGTACCTTTCCGAACATAGCTATGCAGGTAGCTAGTCTCGACCTACTTGACAGCCCCTTTTTCACTCCGTGCCGAAGGGTAGGCGCTGGCATGGAAGTTCCTGAGGCGAACCCCAAGCTTTACGCATCGAACGTACGCGCGTACATGCTGGAGAAGCAGCGCGAGCTCGAGCCACTCGGTTTGACTACTGGGTGGTGGCGGCATGTGGCTGCATCTCAGTATTCGCACAGCAGCAACCAACATCACGAAGACAGCTTCAGCTTTCAGTTTGTCAGACTGTCGGCATCCGTCGTTTCCAACTTGCCAGGACTTGTCCAAGTGAGAGTGTACTCAAAATCCAAAGCCCTCGATATGTGATAGGGGAAGCATGTTGCAGAATTTGGACAGTGGACCTGTACTTTGTGTTTTTTTTTAAATGAGTTCTTGGTATTTTTGGTCTAGTGGCTACGGCTCAACTCAGCTCTCTATTGATATGGCATCGAACCCTGATTTGAAGGTGAAGACTCAATTCTTTCCAGGGTCCCTAGATGCCGCCTTGATGCCAGAGAGCCTGTGCAGTATGGCGTGGCACTTCACCTTGACGGCTTGGACCCAGTGTGACGCTCCAAACGATCTGGCCTCCTGCTCCGTCTTCAGCCCATGGAAGTTGGAAGAACGTCTAGAGCTTTGCCTGCCTGTGGGCTCTCGGAAGGCAGCGGCTATATCGATAGATGTCCCAAGTTTGCGGCAACTTGGTGCTGGAGCAACCGCCACCAACGATTGCTTTCAAACCTTCTAGTGCTTCTCGACATCGGGGCCCGGTTTGTCTGCACGTTTGCAAGACATCACAATCGGACAGACTTCGGCATGTTCGGGTTCATCAGAATTCTCAGTCGATGGACAGCGCTTCGTCGTGACCACCCTGAATATCATCCCCGAGAGTTTGCTGGTCTTTGCGTGCAGGAGCGGGCCGGCAGCTCGTGGAACAGGCCGATAGCCAATTTCATTCTTGTTTCTGAAGATCGGGGACAAGGCCGGCAAGGTCTTGTAGCCGACATGGATGGCAACTAGCTACTGGTGGTTTTGAGACATAGAATTCCTCGACGTTTGTCGGGCGACGGCTTATGGGGACAGGTCTACCGCCAAGAGCTAGGGGGTCCAATGAATAATTGGGCAACAGTAGCAGTTGACAGCGGTCTTCGACATCGGTGGCTGTGCAGGTGATGGGAGCATCTGACAGGATCCTCTGCGCTGCAGAACCAGCTCCGATATAGTGAGGTACGGCACGCTATGGCACGCTGCTGTAAGTGGTGTGCCGCGGAGGTGGAGCAAAAGGTGCATGCACCCGCAAGCACAATGCTGGCATGATGCCAAACACAAGCTTCAAAAGAGCTTTGGGCTCCGCAAAGCTGGAGAAACGGTATAGTAGTTAAAAAGTGAAGATGGTCACATCCCAGTAGAGTTTCGTTTGGCGGAGTCCGAGTGCCGGAAAGCACTGAAAGCAAGAGCTCAGCCTGAGGCTGGTCTGTCGTGATCGACGTCCCAATCCGGGTGGCCTCGTACGCGACTGGCAACTTAGCAGAAGTGCCACCAAAAAGCTTTGCCAGACCGGCAGATCGCTACGAGGCGACGGCACCTGCGGCTGCGGCGCTTGGCCGCCGAGGCGCTTTGTTGTCTCACCGCCGTGACCCGTGAACAGTCTTGTGTGGTCTTCGGAACAGACTTCCGGCGGGGGGGGGGGTGTGTGTGTTTGTACCTAGTTTTCGAGGCGTTGGGCTCTTTTCGAGCCTTCGCTGCAACCTCATGTTGACGAGTGTTCGCTGAGTCGGGGGGGGGGGGGGGGGNNGTCGGGGGGGGGGGGCACCATCCTCAAAAGCGCTCGGCTCCGGCTCTTACACCTCGTCGGACCACGGCCGAAAGTAGCGTGACGGCCCGGGAAGGGAGACCGAGATCTTGAGTTAGATGCCACCATTTGCTAGTGGGCTCGTACCTTGCAAGTTCCAAGTGCTCAGTCGTGGAGAGGCCTTGGAGCCTCGAAGTCGGCTGAGGCCACGCGATGCCTTGCATACCTGCTACGTACTGGAATGCTTCCCAGCTCACATCGCCCGAGGATGCGGCTGCAGAAGCGTGGCCGTGAAGGAACTCCGAGTCCGAAGGCCGCATCATATAATATAATATAATATAATGCACCCATCTTGCGCAGCGACTTGGCTCCGGAGGCTGGCTGAGCACCACCTGAGCGCGTCAGCTTTTCTTCACTTATGCTTAGATGCTCCTGTGGTGCAAAATAGACCGTAATAGACCCCTTTGAAGAATTTTGCCCAGTCGTCGCCGGGCACGATGCCAAGGCAAAGAACAAAAAGTGCCCGACGGCGACAGACGCTGTTCCTTGTGTGGCATGTTTGAAAGCTTAGCTTGAGTTGAGTGCTCGACGTCAAGATACTATAAGATACTTGCCGAGCAAACGGTTGTACAGCTGCCTGAAACGTGACTTCATAGAATTATAGGTCCAAGAGAAGCACAAGGAGCCCAACTCAATTGTTGCAGGTACAGATTCGTAGCGAGTTCAACCTAAGCGATCTTCTTTGAGTGTCCATTGCCCTGAGGGCATTGGTGCCTGAGTTTCGCTGAAGAAAGCAGAAGCGTAGCAAAACTGGGAGTGAATGGCTTGCTTTTTTTTTTTTTTTTNNGACGACCGGAAAAAGGCGTGTAGGTGAAAGTCAAGATGATGCAACTTCGCTGCAATCTTTGCTCAGATCCTTGCAAGACTGGCGCATAACAGGTTCGGCTTAGGAGTGTTTGGTTTTGGTACTATGTGAGTTTTGAATCCGACGCTGCAAATGCAGAGATTTAAGAGCGGTGTAAGCAAACACTTCCACTAAACCATGCCTTTACATTACATCCTTGAATAGGCTAGGTTCCTTTAAGCATTGCCGGGTACCATAAGAAGCTCATGAGAATCGCAAGCAACATCGACAATAATTTGCGTGTATGCTGCTGGTCAGCCCTCCATGCCTTCCGATGTGCGCAGTTTATCAGCAGGCAAGTGCATGGTGAGTCGGCTGTTGACATACGCGGCATGTGGTGCTTCAGCTTGCATTGGAGGATCGACTGCCAGTGGGCACACCACAATCACAGGAAGAAGCAATCTCACTGCCTGGCACCGAGTTTGGTCAAGCTCGCGGCAAGTTGCTGCTCAGACAATACTTGCGACACGGTTGTAGCTTCGTGTCGGAACCAGGTGTTTCACCTTGAGTTTCTGGCTTTGTCAACTACGAATAACATTAAGAAACGCCGAAACCGTGGGCTGAAGCCGGTAGCGTTTTACTCATCCTGCACGGAGGGCTTCGAGGATTCCAAGAGCCTCAAAGGGGCGCGAGGCGTTGCCGAGGACTGGAATTTGCAACCATTGGAAGCCAAGATGGGTGCACAGGGCGATTCCCGAATGCGAGGACGTGTTGACAGCCACGCTGCGTCGCGAGTTCGAGGTCATTCCCAATGTTGACATATTGGCAATCTTGCACCACAACCTTTCCAAACATGCCCGTTCTGCAAGAAATGGTGAACGGCAAAGAAGCGTATATCACACATACATACTTATCTTTATTCAAGTGTTCCCCATGATTCCGGCTTTCAACCACGGAGCCACATGTCGTCAATTTTATCATGTATTTCCAGTTGTCCTGCAGACTGACTGTCGACTCGCATGATGTGCTCACAGAGATGATCTCTATCCATCTGTGCATTTATGTATACATATGGTTGCTTTTATCCATTTTTTTGCACATGTGCATATGTCAGCATGTAAGTCTTAAGTGAGTCTGTCTCTTTGTTTGTCGGTCTGTGTGTCGGTTTGCCAGCCTGTCTGTCTGACTGACTGACTGACTGTCCGTCCGTCCGTCGGTCGGTCGGTCGGTCTGTCAGTCAGTCAGTCAGTCAGTCTGTCAGTCTGTCTGTCTGTCTGTCTGTCTGTCTGTCTGTCTGTCGGTATCTCTGTGCATGCATGCCTAGATGGATGGATGTATGGATGTATGGAGGGATGTGCTGATGTATCTCTCTCTGGCTCTCTGTATTTTCAGGTGCGTGTGAATGTATGATCTTCTTGAGTTGAGAAGCATGACTGTTGTCGCGTGGAGCTCTGGGAACGAGCTTGCAGCACGGCAGGCTTTGCGGGGAAGTGCTGCCGGCAGGCGTGCATGTGCACGCCTGCATTTGCATGTGATTTGAGCACCAGATCTTGCAGCATGCGGGAGCCTTCCCGTGGCTGTAGGACTGCGAACCCTAAGCGCAACAGCGCAGGTCACCGGGCTTCACGAGATTGCCGGGCCGGCGCTTGGGCAAGATGGTTGGGGCCCGGGATGTAGGGTCGAATGGGTCGAATCCGAATGAGGAGAGCAAGCTGAGGTCAGCACCACTATGAGGGAGGCGGCCTTTGCTGTCGGCATGTCACCAGCCAGGCCTGCTGGATTCTGCAGCCAGCCGCCATCCATGAAGAACAAAGCGGTGAAACGTGCCGGCACAGGCAACCGCCCGGCACCAGCCCCGTGCCCTCAGATGCTGTGCACGGGACCCACTTCAGAGATTCATGCTTTGCCATATGCCATTGCCGCACCTTCAGAGTAGAACTGTTCAGACCAGCAAAATCGCCCGCTGAAGGATCGCCAATGTGTGCGATGGGGAGGGGAACGCATCCTGGCTAGGCCATGGCAAGATGCCAAGTGTCGTCAATGCCAAATCGCCATAGAGTTGCGCCCACATCGTTATTTTGAATGTTGGTCCTTCGTCTCAGCCTGGCTCAATACTGTGCAGCCATGGCCATGGCGCAGAAGGCGATTGAAGTGGTTGTTGTGTCCGCAAGGTGGCTGGACTGCCCATGGAAACACTGTGTAGTAGCTCGATGTAGCAGGTGTTCCTTTGGCACATGGTCTTAGAAGTCGTGCCGTGAATTCTTTCGGCAGTGGCTGTTCACTGTCGAAAACATGCCCTTTGTTGATGTTGGAGAGTGCGGCTCCGCAGCCAAAATGCAGTACGTTTCTATGGATCTGAGGCGCACGCCTGTGGGCAAATTTGGCGGCTCTTTGGCCGCGGTGCCCGCGCATGTGTTGGGTGCCAAGGTTATCGGAACCCTGCTTGGTGAACCTTGGCAGCGCCGGTTTCAGTGATGTTCAGCCAGAGCTGGTTGAAGCGAGTGCAAGAGCAACACGCTCGCGCGACCATGGTTGTGACTGTAGAAATGGTAGTAGTTTGTTAATGCGAATGCTGTCAAAGAACTGAGGACACAGGCGGCAAGGTGAAGAATGATATGGTTGACGAGGTGCTTAGGTTCATGTTCGAGGATCTTACGGCATTGAGCAATCTGTGCCTGGCTTTAAGAGCTTCAGGTCATCATCGGACAGGTGCTCACCGCCGGCTGTGGCCAAAATCCAGCACGGCAGGCCAGGCTGAGGGCCACAGGTCACGAAGCTCGTCCGACCGAGCATCCCAGAGCCGATTCTTTGAGTTATTCACCCCTTGCCTAAAATCGACTTTGTTGCGGGCATGTCTTCCAGTCACGGAGCCTCAGACCAGAGCCCGAGCCTGGGTCCACTCATCCAGGCAGTCATAAGCGCTGGACTGCCGGAGACTTGTCCGGCCTTGACAATCAACAAGGCGGAAATGACAAGCTTTGGTGTGTCGTGTGCTACACTACGTGCCGCAGGTTTGTGGGAGCGGGCTGAAGGCGTTGCACCTCGGGATGCAGGCGATTGCATCAGGTGCACTGGCTTGATACCTTCAGCTGATGCTCGTGTTTGTGTTTTGTGACGAAGCTGTGTACGGCACGGTTCTTGCCCCAAGGTGATGCTCAAATCGTGATTGCTGGTGGTCAGGAGACTGATGCCAAGTGCCGTGAGCATGAGACGGCGACTAGTGGACGATGCTTGTTTTCAGCTTCTCCGCCGCACCCTTGAGGAGAGCATGTCATCCAGTCCGCACGTGCTGAACAAAAGCAGGGACGGACAAAGAATGGGTGATTGGCTACTTTTCCTGCACAAGAGGCTTTTGCAGAGACGTTCGCAGAAAATCACTGGCAGTTCTCACGCGCAAGGAAGATGATTGACTCCATGATCGTCGACGGGTTGTGGCGCCTGAGAATGCATGGCAGTGTGTGACAGAAGTCGAATCTGAAGGAACATCGCCGATTGCCACGACGAGAGAGGGACATGTAGCTTTGGATCTCTTCAGCTCAATACGTGGCAAGAGAGGAAGCGGAGAAATGGCCAAACAAAGGTGTGCGTTTAACCAGTACCACATGGGCATCACCGCCGAGAACGTGGCAGACAAATTTGGCATTGACCGCCACTTCCCGCAGAATAGCTGTGCACTGCTTTTGCAAGTCCCAGTCTAAGGCAGCATCCGTTTGCAAGGCAGTTCTTAGGCTCATTGCTGGGCCGGAAACATGAGCGAAGCTCTCAGAGGGATTTGCTGCCTCAGGATCAACGCAAGATGCTTTTGCGGCAGCATCTCAGAAGAAGGCGGCAGAGGCTCAGCAGGCCAGACCAGAGAGTCGACCGCTTCAGAAGGGGACACATTACTAGTAGAAAGGATCAAGCAGCTTTGAGATTCTCTTTCTTCCCATGCACGGTGTCTGGATGCATCTGGGGCTTCAGCCCTTTAGTCCGAATCCAAGCAGACATGCAGCTTCCGCGAATTTTTCTGTATTGGAGCCTGTGCTTCTCTTGTCTCTGGGTCGCGAGAAGTGCCTCCACCAGGCCAGCAATCGACCCAAGCCAGTGCAGCCAGGTAAGTATTGGGCCCTGACTCAGTAGGCAAAAGTAGAACAGGGCGAATTGCTGTCACTCCGGCTTGGTCTAGTAAGAGGGGCCCAGCCTCCTGCAACAGGCGGGAAAGTTCAAGGACCAGATTGTGCCCGTCCCAACTTCCAAGAAAGGCCGGAGCAGTTAAAGTCAAGGTCACGGTTTCGACTGCCGGTTCTGACATGCCTTGAGGTCAGGTCTTGGACCAGGACGAATACATCAAGGCAGACTCCACTGCAGAGCAGCTGGCAAAGCTGAAGCCTGCCTTCAAGAAGGCAGGCTCGGGCGTGGTGCAGATGCTTTGTCCAAGAACACATCGTGCAAGGACGGTTCGGTCACAGCAGGCCGGGGCACCTTGGGCAAACCGCAAGAAGTGATTCATCGGTCTGGCGAGCAGGCAATGCATCTGGCCTCAACGACGGGGCGGCGTTGTGCTTGCTGATGTCTGCGTCCAAGGTCGGGAAATCAAAGTCGCTCCGAAGCTACTCCGCTAGATCGCTCGATACTCCCGATTCTGTCAGCACTCGTGGGCCTGTGGCAGGCACATGAACTGGGCCTCGAGCCCTTGGTCCACATCCGCGGCTTTGCGAGCGCGGGTGTGGATCCGAAGATCATGGGTGCCTCAGCCGCAGGGGCGGTGACGAGCACCTGACACAGCACCCCTGCACCGCTGTCCAGCATTGGGAGCATGCCAGAGCTCTGCTTTCAAAGGCACAGGCCCCATTCCAAGCTCCAAGAAATGCTTGGAGAAGGCGAGCGCTCCAACCATCTCACCACGCGGCGCCCTTCGAAAACAACTCGCAGGTGGGCTGGTCCGTTAAGGACCTGGACATCATCGAGGCCAACGAGGCCTTCGCGGCGCAAGCGTTGGCCGTGAACAAGGCCAGAAAGAGTTCCTGACTGGCTGATTGGCTGTGGAGCTGTCCTGATCGGAGGAGATGGGATGGGACACATCCAAAGTCAACGTCAATGGCGGTGCCCCTTGGCTGCCTTGGCTGCCTTGGCTGCTTTGCAGCTCCATTGCTATTGCTTTGGTCTTACGACTAATGCCCCAAACCTGGTCTAGGCAATTGCCATCGGCCACCCCATCGGAGCGTCGGGCTGCCGCATCGCTGCAACTCGCTGCCAAGACATTTTGTCCATGGCTTTGGGATTTCTGCTTGTTCAGCCTAGGTGGACCTGATTCACGAAATGAGACGCACCAACAAGCGTCGCGGCCTTGCGACGCTTTGCATCGGTGGTGGCCAAGGTGCGAATATAGCTCGTCGAATTGGCAGCACGATGCAGTGAAGCGCAGGCACCTGAGGAAGAACATGGTTTCAGTTTTCGCGAGGAGTGGCGATGTGCTTCGAGCGTCTCATTGCCAGCAAACTTTGAGCAGCCCCAGGCCTTCTGTGCTTGCAGCTCAACTTTCCATGAAGTGTACAGTCCGATGTAGCATGCCCGACCGCCTTCTGGGTTGGACGGCTCGGGGAGCCCTCCGACATGTCGTAGAAGTAGCTGCTGCGCAATGCCCAAATTCACCACTCACATTGCATGCGATCGCATCATGGGCAGTTACCGGCAGCAATTTGCAGGGCTTCGCACTGTAGGGCTTTATTTGGATTCATGTTTGGTAACGTTGACTTCGCATGTGTGAACATCACAGACCCCAGCATGGAAGAAAGAACGCAGAACAGAGGAGGAATGAAGCAACATGAACTGCAGCTTCGGCCTTCAAGATGTCTCGATGTCCGGAAAAGCATGTTCTCAACAGAGAAGCATGGGCTTCTGCACGAGTTTTGTCATTGTCCTAGACTGCGGCCGGAGGTCCTCTTCCGCGTTTGCGGCATCATCGCGAATCTGAAAGCCCAGGATTACGCGCATGAGATTAGCTCGGGATTTGTTTTAATCTGCAGTGCCACGGAGTAGGAAATTGCAGGTGCATGAAGTATGCGGGATAATGCCAAGGCTGTTGCAGCACTACGCTCGGGCATGAAGTACACATAAGTACACCTGCATCTGCAGCTTCCAGTCGAAATGACGTTCAGAGCAGGCAGATTCACTGTCGCGTGTTCCGCTCCGATGCTTGTGCCGCGTCTCGGTGTGAGTCTTCTTCTGGTCAGGCCCAGACACTGTAGCTCTGAAGAAGCACGCACCGAGATGGCTGAGCCAGTGTGTTTCGCATTGGCGAAGACACGTTTCCACTGACAGCCTCGGGTGCTCGAAAGGGCCTCGGAAGAGAGTGATGGGTCGGAGGTAGAGTGGTTTCTGTTTTGTCAGGCTGTCCTCCACTGCAGCTCTCCGTTCCTCCTGCGTGTGGGATTTTGCTAAGGAGGCAGAAAAGACCATCCAGAGCCGGAGGCCGCAGCAGACCACAAGCTACAGACACTGTTGCCCTGAGGCTCGGAAGCCCCGGAAACGAGCCAGGAGGCCGGGTTTGCCGACGCTTCCTCATGCCTGTAGCCAGTGCACCACCCGAGGTCCCTCTCGAGTCTTGGGACCGCCTGCAGGCCACGAGGGCAGCTCGAAAGCACGACAGACTTGCTGAAAACGCCGAGCAGGCGGTGGAGAGCGAGGTGACGCGCCTCGGGGAAGAGCTCCGGCGCGTGGAGGCCGTCGCAGCTCCTGCAAACACTCCTGAAGAACGGGCACGGTACATGGTAGGCGTCGAGGTCGAGTGTTCGGATAGCACCAGAGTCAGAAGCGCAAGAGTAGCAGGGACACAACTGCATCACGCACGATGCACTCACGGCCTGTGTTAGGAGGAGCAGCAGCATGCAGCTCGCCAGCGAGGCGACCTGCAGCAGGCGCAGACGCAAAGCGCATGTGGCATCGAGCAGAGCCTTTCGGCGAATCCGAGTTTACTCATGGCATCGGCGACGAAGATGCCGCCCGAAAGCTAACGGAATGCTGAAATGAGTGCGAGGCGGATAAGCTCCTGATGGCTCGACTGCATCGGCCCTAGTCACTCTAGGGCTCACAGGTTCGAAGCGTCAGTGCAAGAGTGGCTGCATGTAACGGTCTTGAGAAGTTGCTTAGGTCCACGCTGGAAGGTGACAAAGCTCACACCGGCGTCCAAGTGCAGAATTTGCATGCACTCATTTCAGCCAACGGCTTGGTCGTTCAGATTCGATCAGCTATGCAGTGATTGGGCCTGCATCAGAGGGCTTTCTCAAGGTGCTCCGCGAAGGCTTTAAACTGATGCCAGCGATGAGTCCTTATGTGTGCCGAGGCCCTCGACAGAGGGGCCCGGAACCTCAGCCTTCCGGCAGCCGAGGCTATGTTTCCCCTCGTGACAGCCGAGGCGCGTGGCCTTTCCGAGGACCTGACCTGTGTGGTGGAGGAGGTGGAACTGAGGCGCCTCGTGCTGCTTGTGGATGATGTTGATGACTCAGCATGCTGTTCGACACCAGGCTTGCCAAGATCGGCCAGGAGCTCTCCAGCCAGAGGTGTGCACTGCAGCAGGCCTTTCCCGTCTTTGAAGTTGCAATCTGCGCATGCATGCAGTGCTCGGGCAAAACAAGTCGACAAACTGGACAATCGCAATAGCTTTGTCTGCTGGCAAAGCCCTCGCGAAGCTGCCTGCGCTGTTGTGATTATGTTATGCCATGCTGCAGATGACTTATTCTACGCAAGCTTCGCCGTCTTTGCCAGTGCCCTCGTCTGCAGAGGGCAGGGTGGAGGTGGAGTGAGTGCCCGATTCAGAGGCGGAGCTGAAACACCAGCCGCATGCGATAAATCGCTGGAATGTCCTTGCAGCCTAGGGATGTGCAATTGTTTCGTTTCGAGCTGGCATTCAAGAGAGGATGGAGAGATTCTGAGAGACTCTTCGAGGTGTCAGCTGCAGTTGAGAGACTCTGCAGTTCCAATCCCAGGAGACGATCGTAGAACTAGCTCAGTTGCAGGGTTTTTTTTTTGCCTTGAAGGCAAACAGAGGCCGGTTTTCAGGTCCAGGTTAAGGTCTGCAATGTCTCGAGAGGATGCAGCGATCTGAAGCCTTGAACTTAGTTGCAGCGTGGATATGCGATTCGCTGCGATAATAACTTTGGGTATGTGAGTGGCTGCGGGCGAGGCCACACGACTTTGCCAAAGCCTTCGTGCCTGGAGGGCTGCGGTGTGTCCGGGATCCTCAGCGTTTCGAGCGTTGAGAGCAGCCATGTCGGCACAGTGCGAGCTGCTAGAGTGTCGGATTGTCACGCTGCCGTGAGGTTCCTCGGAGAGGCCTGCAGTCGTGTAGACTTGCCTCAGTTCGCTGTCCACATCGTCCTTGTAAAGAGCATGCATAGGCATAGGTCGCTTTTTTTCGCGTTGCAAATGCCAGGCCAAGGCTTGCTGCTTCGGACGCTGCCATGCCGATAATTGAGTTTGGGCCCCTCAAATTCTAAATCAAAGCACCAAGAGCGGTGACTCGGTAACTTGCCGCAGGCAGCACTTGCAGCAACGGTTTGAGTGGCTCGAACAACGGGCCCTGCTCAGCGCTCGCTGCGAGGCATCCGCTCTCTGCTCGTCACTCTTGTCAGACTGTCAGATTTAAAAATAGAACTCGCATGACCAGCTGGATTTTGCAATTTCGTGGCTGCGCTCAGCCACAAGTTCATTTCATGGCGCAAGCTTCTAGTAAGGATGCAGGGTTTGGTGCTTTGTTCCTTGCTTTTTTTGCTCGGGGAGAGTCCTGACAGCTAGGTTTAACTCGTTCCTGCGATCCCACGGTCGGATGTCGGAATGCAACAAGGAAGGACACCAAGACAAGGATGTCCCAACCCTAAACCTGCTTCTGCATGTGCTATAACACGCCGGACTTCGGTGCTGCTGAGGAGCACATCTGTGAAGAGTGCGATATTTCTGTGCTTTCAATGCGGCGAATCGCATAACTTGCGCTACCTTGTACTCCGGAATGCTAGCGCTGTCAGTCACGTTACGATTTTGCTTCCCAAGTCTGAACATACCTGTGCTTCCCTTCTGGACGCTCAATTGCTACTGGTTGCAATGCTGCCTTAGAGTTCGAAACGACACAGATGCCGTAATTAGAGAAACTATACTTCAGAGTTCTAAAAGGTCAATTTGTTTTTGCAGAAGTTCGAGCCATCAGCCCACGTGTTTTTTTGGCAGCACGTTCACAGTTGCCAGGTGCTGCGCCAAAGAGAGGAACTTTGCCTTGCGGTTGGAACCGAGCTACACGAGGCGGCAATCGGGGATCTTAACACGCACTTACATTGATCAACGCGAATGGATCGGCGGATGGCAGTGTTTGTTCCATCGTTTGAAGCTTTGTACGGTTGAGCAGCAAGGGTTCCATTGATACGCGGATGCTTGCGAGACATCTTCAGGCAAAAAGAGGTCCAAGCACCGTTTTGGCAAGTACAGTTCATAGGATGCAGTCGGATTGATCTCATTGTGCTGGTTGAAGGCAAGCGGGCCTCAGTATTTGCCGTGAGGCAAACCACGCCCACTTCCAGATCGATGAGGCGAAGGCCATCGGCAAAATCTGGCAAGAATTGCGGTTCCTCGAAAGGCCATGACTTGAAAAGTCAAGGTGATGTAAATGAGTTACTGATTCCTCTCGCTTACCTCGATCGCGAGCTTCACCTCAGAGCCAGCAGGTGCTCAAACTGTCCGAGGGCCTCAGCGAAGTGCAGCAGAGGGTCGAGGACGTAGAGGCGCGGTTTGCTTTCGGAAGCCTTGGTGGGAGCGATCCGGCGTTGGACAGCCAGCGAGAACTCAGTCCCGTGAGACCACAGCAGCTCGACATAGAAGCCTAGGAGGCAAACATCCGAGGGCGTTGTTTTCGGGCACATGCACCCTGCATGGAAAGTGAGAAGGAAGGAAGAAGGGAAGAAGCAAGAAAGGAAGGAAGGAATAAAGGAAGGACGGAAGAAAGGAAAAGGAATAAAGGAAGGAAGGCAGCAAGGAAGGAAGGAATGAAGCAAGCTATTGATGATCCAAGCTGTGGGGTTTGTTTTGCAGCAAGCTGTTGGTGATTTCCCTTACGCAGGGTACGCTCTCGCAGCTATCGGATCTTGAAGTCTGGAAGGTTGCAGATGGCGGCAAATATCGGCAAATTAATGCAAGCTTCGAACTTACTGGGTCTTTTGGTGCACAGGCATCTTTGCCGCAGCTGGTGAGCAAAGTCAGCGAATTAGGCCCGGGCTTGTGTGAAAGGGCAGGGTACTGGCCCTGTAACTTTTGACGTCTGTGGTGCATAGCGGAATTCCTCAGTCTGGCAGAGTCTGGCATGTCTTCTTCATGACCGCACATGGGCCTATTGAATGCAGCCAGCGCTCCAAACGGCTGAATTGCGACACCTCAAAGCCAACCCATGTTCAGGCCACTCTCGGCCGGCAAGGGCGGACAAGGCTGGATTTGATCTGCACCTTCGATAAGATCTGGGCACAATTTACCCACGGCATCCGCGGCTGCGTTGCTGCTTTTGTGCAACACTGCTGGGCTTTGAGAGAGGCGAGTTCCGATAATGCTGTTGGTTTTGTCTTGCTTTTGCACGTGAAGAGCCGGTGCCAAGTCAGTAGCATGCGTCTTTTCGTGAAGTATCACGTGTGCATCGTCACTACCTTGGCCTGCAATGTTGAGTCTGACCTCGCTTGACTCTGATTCTTGGGTTGCAGGCTTTTGGCCAAGCCCCCGAGTCCTTGAGTGCGGTGCGAGCAGACGTGGGCGCTGTTGCACGCAGTGTTGCCCAGTTGGACGAGGCAGGTGCGAATTTTGGCTCGAGGTACTTTGGGAAGATGCTTCCAAATCCTCACATCTAGCAGTCTAGCCTTCAATAAGCTCTTGGCAAATGCAGGTCTTCAGGGAAGCACTTGAGCTCAACGACATCCGCGACTCGAAGGTGGAGGAGCTTCGCCAGGCCAAGGGATTCGGCATCAAACAAATATCTTACTTCAGCTCTGGACAAAGGTACTCAGCGAAGTGGCAGAGACCTCCGCGTCACCCGAAGATGTGGTGGCCAGGCACGCCGTGCAGGCAAGGTGTGATGGTTGCGCCTTTCCGGTTCGCCGTCATTGAGAACTGATGTGTGTTTCAACTGCTAGGGAGCTTCCTCAAGAACCCCGTGATCGTTCCCCTAACTGCTAGATACTGCGAGCGTCCGCGAGCATGTTATTTCAATTTGTTCTTGCTGCGGTATCTGCTCTTCAGACTCACTCTTGGCACTGGCAGGTGGTTTGGCAGAGTGTTGAGGAACTTCAAGAGGCCGCACTGGAAACCCAGACGGCACTGCAGACGCGAGCTGGGCATGCAGGCCCTCCGGGAAGAGAGCCAGGCGTCCAAAGCAGACGTGGCCAAAGATCTCCGGACTGTGAGGGAAGACCTGAAGCTTCTCAAGGCTGTGGCAGAATGAGCCGGATCATGTCTACAGCGTGCAGCAAGCTTGACAGGAGCAGGCACCACATCAACTCAGATTGTCCAGAACCGTCGAGGAGTTGCAGAAGGTGGAACGAGTACGTAGTGCCGTGACATTTCCGTTGTGGCGATGCCAGTTGGCACCAGAATTCTACGCGTTCCGTTACCTAGATGTGTGCCCTGGCCGATGCAAAGCCTGTTCCGCATCGGCTTGCACGAGTTCGGGATATAGGTTAACAAGCAAGCATACATACGCACACACACACACACATAGGTGCTTGCAAGAAGGACCCTTGGTTCTGTCTTGCATCCCCAGTCCCTTTCTCGGCATGCTGGTAGTTGCCGTTGGCGCGAGATACTGTTTGTTTCCCAAACACCACTCTGGGGTTTGATGAAGAGGGAAGAAGGATTAGATTTCTGCGTACGCCAGGACAATGGCTGCTGCAGCGCCGTTTGACTTGCACAACTTAAAACGTTGCCGTATGGTATGCAAATTGCGCTAATCACGTTGTTACTGGAAAAGTCCGGAGCCAAATGTGATGTCGATTCGGAGACTTTAGGCGTCAATAGCGGCCCCTGATTAATTTCAGTAGTGTTCCTGGAAACGAATTCGGACACTTGCCTCCGCAACATGCTCCACTGCTTATCCGGCTTAAACCGTTTTCTCGACCCAAGACGTTTATTGTCTAGATTAGTTCAAAGTGCGGTCAGGGTGTGTGGGAGTGTGTGCGTTGGAAGGCTTCAGCCGATTGAGTTTACTTGCATGGGTTCACTCCTCGGCTGTGCAGTCCCTTCGGAAAGGAACACAGACAATGCATACAGCTATAAGCAAATTAGTGAACGAATGTGGTCATAAATACACATGACAGATTCCGAGCCTCGATTCCGGTGACGGTCCTGCTAGGACGGGAGATTTGTCGTATAACATGCCTTCTGAAATCCATATCGCAGGCACTCCCTACCAAGATTTCGAAAGATCCTTTCTGACCCACGCTAGAAGTCACATACCGTATTCAACCAGCTACTCAGCTTTCCTCGCTGCACGTTCCACTGTACTGTGCAACAATGCACGTCCTAGTGCCTCGAAGCTTGGAAGAGTGTGTATGCGCAGGCTGTGACGGACTTGAAGGTGGTTGAACAAGAAAGCTCCAAAGCTTCCACGGATGTCAACGACCTCCGCCACAGCTTGGCTGAATTGCAGGAGGTAGGGGACCTGGATGGAGTGGCAGGGGCCAGGTCTTTTGTTGGACTCATGCAGTTACATGCGAGCACGACATGTCAAGGCATTCAGAGAAGCGGAGCAGAAGGCTGCAGCAGAAGCTCATTGCCATGTCCAAGAACTCAGCGAGGTCCGAACGCGACCGTGAGCAAGATGTGGCATGCAAGTCTTGTCAAGTTGCAGCCGCTTTTCTCATGACCACGGTTGGTAGATACTAGTACGGTACTAGTGCCTCGAAGCTTGGAAGAGTGTGTATGCGCAGGCTGTGACGGACTTGA